AGTACAAATAATGAGTAGAGTTCTTATTTCTGTTAATTCTCAGGAGCAAAATTAATTCTGTAATTAAAACTGCAGAGAAACATGAAAAGTAAAGAACAGCTGCTGGTGTGAATTGGCTAGATAGTCGAAATGGACTGAGAGGCCCCAATATGTACCGAAGTGTGAATTGTTTTTTTGACTATGTTGGTTCATGGACAGGTTCTAACGTTAATGTCTTTTACACGAATAGTTGTGCAAGTGACATACTTCTGTACTCTGTGCCAGCTTGATGGATGTCATTGGATCATGTAATCCTGTCTTGTTACATGTAGGTCAAGCCAGGCTCCAAGAAGATGAAGAGTGGATACCTGAGTGTTGGGGTGGAGTGCTACGGAGGTGGCATTTGGAACACATGGTTTGATAGGGACCTGACAGTGGCCGGTAGGGTAATAGTTCAGGTAAGCTAGCAACGAAGGGTGATGCTGTCAAGGACGGTTGGTCGATGGATGCACAGCCTTTTACTTGGAGGACTGTCAGTTTCTTTCTATGGAAAACGTTGAGCCCAAAACTTGAAAAAACTTCCATCTCAACAAATAAAATCAAAATCAGTATAATGCTCCCGTCTCCGTATTTAGGCTTTTTTCCCTGCCTTTGTGACTCTGACAATTATAAGTTTAGGACATGTGCTTTCATAACCTTCTAAACTACAGGAGAAGAACTAAAGAAGAAGAACTCCTTGGATTATTTTTATCATGTTTTCAGTGTGCGTCCAAAAAAACCTAAATTTCACAATTATGTAGGGAATCAATACCATATTCGTAGTAAAGTGTAAAGTGATTTGACTGCATTCTAGTTGTCTGAATCTTTCCAATACATGCCAAACTTCCTGAAAGTACTGTCAAGCCTTTTTAATAAGAGGTCATTCAGCCTTTACAGGTTACCTTGTTACAACAGGAACATTGTATCATCAGGATTGAAAACAATGAAGAACAAAGAATTTGGGACCTACCAGGTCCTAGTTATAAGGATAATGTATCTAAAGCTCTCTTATGAACAAGGTTCGATTGTATTGGAAGAGTCTAGAAGGGCTAATGACTCTAAGATTTCCAAATTCCAATTCCCACTCTCTAAATCTAGGAGGAGACGAGTGTCAGTCATCGCCTTGTTTTCATTCAGAGACCTATCTTGCGAGTGCCGAATCTTTGTATCCACCTAAATCGCTCAGTTAATGACAACTTTGGACCCAACAAAGAAACAGAAATGTAAGTCTTAGTCAGCAGTAAATTTCACAATTTGTGTACTGAAAGAAATCTGTAACAAATGAAACATTGACCATGAAGTATTTCACACTTTGTTTCATGACTTTGAACTTGTTCAGATTTTTTTTATGTGAACCAAGGTTGAATTCAGTTGATCGGGGTCATGCTTTCACCAGTCACGTTGAGGTTGTGTTGCAGTGATTATTTTGAATGTGAGTGCACTGTAAGGCTAACCGTATACAGACTGCTTGGAAGGGGTACGAAATGCTCAACAGCCAAGGTAACAGTGTACTCTATGCCAGTGATGAAAGTTGTGGCTGCATATTAGTAATTTAATTTGTTCAGTCAGGCAATGATATATTTTTGGTCTGTCATTTTCATTTGTAGTGTTCCTGTGTTGGCTACTTCCATTATGCAGCAGATAGAAGCACCTGTTGCGGAGGAAACTCAAGGCTCTTGTGCGGTGAGAGTTTTGGTTGGAATGGCTTTAACCACATGCTGCCGGGTCTAAATTGAAGTTGCATAAGGAGTACCTTGGGGATTGTCAAGATTTTCCGTTTTCGAAATTCTTCAAAAATTCATAGCTTCATTTACTGGATGTTTACACCCATACGAATGACTGTCTGGTGGCTACTCTAATCTGACAGGCAACATCTCTTAACGCTTGAGTATTTCAGCCAGGCCTGCAGCCTTGTAAAGAGAGCCCAGATTGTGCAATTTTCTTTGGTTTCCAAAACTGGCCCAATGCAATGCTGCCGTCTTTTCAAATGTGGCGAGTTTAACGTGCAGCAGTATTGTATTGTTCTTCGCTGGAGCGCTTTTGTCCCCGGTCATAATCCGCTCGCACTGAATGCCACAAATAATGGAATACTGTTTCAAAACAGTCACGGATTACCCCCCCCCCCCATTGACAACTGAAAAAATGTTAGCAATTCCCAGCAGCCCATTTTTGGTTCTGAGTACAGTCTTTTGTTACAAGGCCCAGCTCCTTTTTGTCCAATTTTGGGCACCCCGGCTACACGTACATACCTAAGGTCTTGAGTACCGTGTACCCCGGCTACACGTACAAACCTAAGGTCTTCAGTACCGGGCACCTCAGCGTGAAATGGTTAACACAACGTCATTGTACTCCCAGCATTCAGACGTAAAATGTTACTGAGACGAGCAGTCAAGCAGATACCACCATCTGCGCATGCTATCAGGAAAAAGCCTGGCCAAGGTCAATCAGTGGCCATTTGTCAACTTTTGATCGGTAACCTATGCTCATAAGCTGTCATGGATACCAGGCAAAATTGAGCCACGGGCCGTTTTCAAATACTCAACTTTGTCTCCGTCTCGGGCTTCGTCCCCAAAACCAATCCCCGATTGTTGGCCCGAGGCATTTAAATAAAATTGGATTTCTTTAATGTTTGGCTCTCTTGCATCGTATTTGATGTTTTGTGGCACTATTAGACTAATTATTGCACTACCAGCTTCAAAGTCAGGTAGTAAAAAAACAGCTGAAGCCTGAGACGAAGCCGAAGTTGAGTATTGGAAAACGGCCATGGTTGATTAGTGGTCACTTGTCAAACTGGGGCCATGATGTGAGGGTAAGGATTAATTTAGTGTCACTAGGTGGGGCGCTGCCTCTTTGAGTCCTCAAAATGATCGAGTTTTTCAACAAATGCAGCTAACCCTTGCAAGAATGCACAAGTCCAAGCTGGGTCAGCAAAGCGTCTCTGAATATGCGGTGACCTTTTGCTATTCAGATTGTGACTGACTTGTTATTCAGACCTAAATGTTCTGGTCTGTTCTATTACAGGCTTCTAGCAAGCACCATCCTCTCCTTGTCAACCTGCTGTGCCAAGATCTCAATGTCAGGCCTGACCAGATATTGGACTTTGAACTTTGCCTGGCAGACACGCAGCCAGCTGTAAGTATCACGACAAGCCTGGTTTAACTGATTTCTCATTTCTCAAATTGATCAGTCGCCCGCTGTAATCGAGTCCGTCTACGTTTAGTGGCTTTTAGAGACTTCTCAGGATTGAACTGTAGAAACTGCATTACATATGAAACTGCAACAACTGATCTGGATTCTTCTCAAACTTAACAAATGTTTCAATTCCAGACTTTGATTCATTCTCATTTCAAAGAAATAGAAACTGAAAATTTGTAAGTCAATTCAGAAAGCCAGTTGCAGCACACAGTGGGTCAAGTCAGCTTGAAGTCCATGAAGTGGATGCTACACAGAAGTCAAGCAACGATAATTGTGGAGTCCCCAAAAGTTGAGGGGACACTAAGAGGTCACCACAACTTCGATCAGACTTTCAGATCCAACGTATTTATCATGGTCACATCAGATAAAGCTTGCATTAATGCATTCACATAAATCAATGCTTTCCAAATGAACCTGTCTTCCAAGTTACTGTAGAGTGCAACCGTTAACGTGTTTATTAATTTTTGTGGTTTTTTTCCAGACAATTGGTGGTGCCTTGAATGAGTTCATATACGCTCCTCGCCTTGACAACCAAATGAACTGCTTTACTTCACTCAAGGTATATTCGCAGGACTTGGGCCACAGCCAAATTTGTCAGCCTTATTTGGGCCTAACCCACTTTACAAATAAGTCAAGTTTTTGCAGGGTTTTGTAGCTGAAAGGGACTGTGAATTGAGTTTCCCATGGAATTATGGGATACCTCTCAGTCGATTAAATGTAAAATTGCACTGTTTTGCTACTTTACGATACCATTGCCATCTTAAGACACTCAAGGCTACCGTTGTTAAGATTTCACAGTGCTGATTCAGGGAAAGGTTTGCATGAATAATTAATCTGACATGCTACTAATGAGCCGGTTCTGAGCCAGCACCTGTCCAAAATGAAACGCGTCCGTGGTCTTCAGATGCACGTGGCCCTATGTGGACTTCCATGTGTGCTTTATTCCCCAACTGGCTCAGTGTAACAGTGTGTATGCAAGTCTTTTCATGTTCGATAAATTTGTCACAGCAGCGAAGAAACTTCCCACTTGATGAGACCTTCATTCTGCTCAGGATTACACATATTTGTATTTGGGAAAAAAGCCATAAGCCTCTTTAACAAGAGTTTAACATGGCAGGGAAACAAAAATGAAGTAAGTGGGACATGGAAATACAGTTTGGAGATGTTGTTTCAAGAAATATCAATACATAGGCCTTAAGGCATTTTTGGGTTTTTGTTTTGTCCAAGTCCTACAGAAGCAATTTCTAAAGAGTAGGAAAATACCCTTTTCTTCAAAAAGTCTGTCCTCCAGTTTTGATGAAAGCTTCCCTAAAACTCCCCAAATTGGTCTCTTTAGGGGGGTTTCCTTGGTTCAGTTTACCCCCTCACTTAGCATCTGTCAATATGTCTCTCTGTTGTGAATCACTCGTATTCAGTTGATGTATATGGAAATACTTCCACTTACTTGGTAACATATGTCTGCATTTAGCACTTGAT